AGCTCTGGTGGCCTAGTGGTAAGAAGGTGTGCTGCAATCCCCAAAGCACAAGGTTCAAATCCACCAGCTGCTAAGTGGGAGAACGATGAGCAATCTCCTTCTGTGGGATTTACTGCCTCTGAAAACTCACTGGAGAATCAGCTGTGGGTCACTTCTAACTTGATAGTACTCAACAACAACAATAGCAACAGGGTAGGAATGTAGAAATTTTTTTTCCCCTTCAGGACCTCAAGATTTGAGTTTTAGCTAAATTGCCTGTCTGAACCCTATGGTCACCCCAGGATGGCTAAGGGAGTGTGGGAGCTTGAGAACCAGATGTCCAACCACTCAAGGAGTGTTGTTGTTGTTGTCGAGTCGTTTGCGACTCATAGCGACCCTATGTACAACAGCCCTAAATTGTGCTCTATCCTGTGCCAATCTCACTGCCCCTGACACACCCATCCCAATTACCCCAGTCACTGAATCAATCCACCTCATAGAGGGTCTTCCCCTCCTGCACTGTCCCTCTACTCTACCCAGCATGATGTCCCTCTCTAAAGACCTGTCTCTCCTTACAACATGTCTAAAGTATGTCAGACGAAGCCCCAGAATCCTTGCCTCCAAGGAGCATCCTGGTTTAACCCTCTCTACGATGAATCTGTTTGTTTTCTTGGCAGTTCATGGTACATTCAATATTCTTCTCCAGCACCACAGCTCAAAGGCATCAATTCTCCTTCTGTCCTTCCTAATCATTGTCCAACTCTCTGATGCATAACAAGTGATTGCAAAAACCATGGCCTGTATCAGGCGGACCTTAGTCTCCAGAGAGACACCGTTGCTCTTGAGTACTTTGGAGAGGTCCCTAACCGCAGACTTTCCCATCGCAATATGTTTTTTTATTTCAAGGAATGTAGTGACCAGGAAATAATCCATTTGTTGTCTGCAAGGAAGAGGGGAGAGGGAAGGTGTCAGCGTTTCAGGCAGGGTGAGGAGTAATGTGTTGGGAACAATGGGAAGTGGGTGGAGTGCCAACTCTGTTTTAGGCCACTTATTAGAGTGTGATGTTGTGGATGTGTGGACACATGTAGGGAACAATGAGGTTGTGAGGAGATGCACAGGCTCCACTTGAAACAGCTTCAGAAAAGAGGGATATCATGGGAAGAGAAGAGGTGGAGGGAGCATCAAGACTGCGTTTGGCAGTGGAGTTGGTAGTTCCTTCACAGAGGAGGGTATTGCAGTGACCTCACTCTAAAGGACTGATGGGAAAGGTGGGTGGGCTTCAATGAGTGGAGAAACTGAGGGACCGAATCAAAAGCACAGAGCAGTGCTGAGTTGAAGGAAAAGTCCAGTCTGAGGGGTGCCAGGATTAACCAATCAAGTGATTGCCATCTCAAGAGTCCTCCTTGTTGTTAGGTGCCATCAAGTTGAGTGTGACCCATGAGTAATGGTTCTGAACTTTGCTCTACCCTGTGCCATCTTCACCATCTCTGCCATACTCAAACCTTTACATTGGGAAAGTCTGTTATCAGAGACCTCTCCAAAGTACTGAAGAACAACGATGTCTGGAGACTAAGGTGCACCTGATTCAGGCCATGGTCTTTGCAATTGCTTGCCATGAATCTGCACAATGACTAGGGATGATAGAACGAGAATTGATGCCTTTGAGCTGTGGTGCTGGAGAAGAGTACTGAATATACCATGGACTGCTAGGAGAACAAACAAGTTTGTCCTGGAGAAGCCAGACTGCTCTTTAGAGTCAAGGATTCTGAAGCCTCGTCTGCTATACTTTGAGCATATTGCAAGGTGGAATCAGTCCTTGGGGAGGGATGCCATGCTTGGGAGGGTGGAGGGACAGCGCAGGAAAGGCAGACCCTCAATGAGATGAATTGATTCAGTCACTGGGGTAATAGGGATAGGTGTGTCAGGGACAATAAGATTGGCAAGGGATAGAGAAGGGTTTAGGGTTGTTGCACATGAGGTCACTGAGTTGCAAGTGACTCGACAGCACATAACAACAATCTTTATGAAAATCAACTGCCACATCTTTCTCCCACAGAGCAGTTCAACCAGGGTATCCAAAAGTCTAATTGTTGTTGTTGTGTGCTATCAAGAGGATACTGACTCATAGCTGACCCTGGAGCAGGTTTTCAGTGAGAGACGACTGTCCATCCTTTTCCTACAAAACAACTGGTAGATTCAAACCATGTGCCTTTGGGTTGGCAGTGCAATTCCTTACCACTGAGCCAACCAGAGCTTCCTAAAGGCCTGATTGTTATTGTTTGTTGTAGTGTACCATCAAGTGGGAACCGACCCATAAGTGACCCTCCAGCAGGTTTTCAGAGGCAAGAAAAGGGAAGAGATTGCTCATCTTTCTCCCACGGAGCAGATGGTGGAGTTGAACCCAGTCACAATTCCTTACCACTAAGCCGCCAGAGCTCCCTTTGGCACTGTAGAATTGGAACCAACTAATTCAGTCAGAAAGGATAGATTAGTGGGGTTGAGGTCACATCAAGGCAATGCCGGAATATTATTTGTTACTAAGCTAATCTCTTTGCCATTGAGTCAAACTGAATGGATCACTCATTGAGTTTCAGAGGCTGTAAATCACACAAGAAGAGACTGTGAGCAGGACATGAAAATGCTTGAGTCTTGTCAGTAGAATGCTACAGTTGGATCTGGATTGAGAGAAGGAATTTGTGTTAGCATGGGGAAAATAAAGAACTCATTCCACCTTCAGCAACTCCCCCCCCCGACCCGGCCCCCCCCCCCCCCCCAACCTGGGCTAGTGGTAAGAAGTTGTCTTACAATCCCAAAGGCACGCAGTTCAAATCCGACAGTTGCTCTGCAGGAGAAAGATGGACAATCTCCTCTATGTGGTTTACTGCCTCGGAAAACCCAGCTGTGAGTTGGTTCCGATGCAAAGGCACACAAAAACAGCTACCTAGTGGTAAAGAGCTGGATTGCCAATCCAAAGGCACAGAGTTTGAATCCTCCAGCTGCTCTGTGGGAGAAAGATGGACAATCTCCTCCCATGTAATTTACAGCCTCTGAAAACCTGCTGGAGGGTCAACCTCAAGTAAGACCCAACTTGACAATACATTGCCACAACCTATCCCTAGTGTGTCAGAGATGATGATGGCACAGGAAATGGCAAGGTTCAGATCCACCATTCATAGGGTTGCTATGAGTTGTAGTCGACTCGATGGCATATAACAAGAACACTGTATGGTGAAATGGATTGACAGCGTGACTTTAGCAATGAGCTTGAGCATAACATAGATGGTGAAGATGGCACAGGATAGAGCAAGTCATTCAGAGGGTCGCTATGACTTGTCATTGACTTGAGGGCATTTAAGAACATGTAGGGTAAGTCATGGGCTAAGCCCTTTTCACTTGCCTTTTCAATTGACTCTGGCAAAGTCCTTACACTTTGCACTTATCTGCCTTTGTGCCTCCATATTCACTTGTAGATGAGTGATACAGGATTATCTATGTAGTAGTGTTTACCTTTTTTGACTGATTTTCTCGTGCAAAGAGTTCATTTCTAAGTATTTTTAGTGTTTGAAGTTGGCAAGAGCTCCAACAGAACAGGCTCAGTATCCAATAGGCCTATTCCCAAAGAGATGTGACAGGTCAGGCTTACCATTATGTTTAGGGTTGTGTGTTGTTGTGTGTATAGTCAAGTCTGAACTGACCCATTGTTGACCCTTCGGCAGGTTTTCTGAGGAAGTTAACTGCACAAGAGGAGATTGTCCACCCGTCTCCCTCTGAGCAGCTGGTGGATTCAAACAATATGCCTTCGTGAGTGCAGTGGCGCTTCTTGCCACTAGGCTACCAGTGCTCCTTACGGTTAGGGTTTACCATTTTTTCATTTGGAAGTAGAAATGAAGTCTACAGAAAACAAAGAGCCTACCCAGATTTAGGAGTGATCTGAGAAGTCACTTGGAGTAATGCAGAAAATAGGAATATGCTGACTGTAAAGGAAGAGTCCTGGTGGTGCAGTGTTTAGGCAGCTTGACAGGCAAATATAAGATTAATAGTTTGATTCCAGACTCATGGTTTGTGTAAAAGAAACCCTTGGAAATTCCACGAGGCAGACCTACTTTGTATAGAGTCACTATGAGTCAGAATTGACAAGATGACAGTGGGTTAGCTCTTGTTTATGTAGTTTTGGTGTTTTTAATTTTTTTTTCCTCTCAAAGGCCAAGTTCAAGTATGGAGGTGAGAGCTGAATTCTAGTATTGGAGACAAAGAGGTATAGAAGCTCTTTGAAGAAGAGAGATGAGAGGGTCAAAGGTCACTTCCAAGCTGGGAAGATTTGCTGTGTGAGAAATCAGTGAAGATCAAGAGGAGAGAGAAATCCCCAACAACACAAAAGATTTCTTGTGGGACAGAGGCATAGGAGGTTTTTGAGTAAAGGTGAATTTTGGAGACTAATTCACTGAACCTTCTTTGTGAACTTGATGAATTTCTTTTACAAGATTCTTTTCTGAACTACTACAATTTTTTCCCAATGAGAGTACAAGGAGAATCCCATGTAAACGCACCAAGACTCAGGTTTAGGCCACTCCCAGGGGGGCAACTTCTTAGCCTGTTAAGAGTCACAGGGGGACAATATTGAGTTGGGTTATGAAAGATCGAGTCCCCAGAGAGCTCTAAGAATAGGCTCAAAGTAGACATAGCTCCATCTGCCTCTCCTGGATCACAATGAGTGAATGTCTCTTCTCCAGAAGTCTGGCGTGCACGGCTTTTCGTGGCAGGGCAGCGATAGTACCGGGGCGGACAGGGAGGGTGCGGTTGCGGGGCGAGAACCGCGACGGTGCAGCCTCGGGAGGGCCATGGCCGCGGTGGGGGTGGGTGGCGGGGGTAGGGGATGCCGCGGCTCCTTTAAGGACGATGGCGCGGAGGCGGTGCGCGCTCCAGCGGCTGCCCCGGACCCCGCCCCTTTCCCGTGAGCCCTCAGGGAGTGGTCCGATCGCGGGCGGCCTCCGGTAAGGAGCGGGCGGGGGGCGGGGGGAGACATGGCGCGGCGCGGCTGGCGGCGGGCACCCCTCGGCCGCGGGCTGAGCGGCGGCGGTGCTTCCCGGGCCCGCGCGCTGATGCGTCCTCTCTGGTTGCTCCTCGCAGTGGGTGTCTTCGGCTGGGCCGGTGCTTCGGACAGCGCTGGCGAAGCGGCGAGAGCCATGGATGAGGAGATCGTGTCCGAAAAGCAAGCCGAGGAGAGCCACCGGCAGGACAGTGCCAACCTGCTCATCTTCATCCTGCTGCTCACCCTCACCATCCTCACAATCTGGCTCTTCAAGCACCGCCGGGCCCGCTTCCTGCATGAAACCGGCCTGGCGATGATATACGGCAAGTGCCCCAGCCCTGGCCGCCCTGGCCCTCCCGTCCTCTACCGGCTTGGCCCTTCCCGGCCCAAGCTCGCTTCTTCTGTGCCTTCCATTTTCTGCCTCGCCTCTCCCTTCCCCTCATCTCTGCCTCGCCCCCATTTTCCCGCCTCACCCCCTTCCTTCCTTTGCCTCGCCCCTCTTGTCTCTGCCTTGCACCCCCTTTCCTTGGCCTCTCCACCCCGCATTTCTCCGCTGACCCCACCCCCTTCCTCTGCCCTGAGCTGGGGCCCGGGAATGAAGGTGGGAGGGCAGTGGGTGCAGGGGCTCGGCAGGGGCTGGGCGCTGGGGGCGGGGAAGACACCATTTCCATCAATTTCGCCGGGTGTCAGTTGGTGGGAGGTGCGGGGACGCTGCCATAGCAGCTCTACAATCGGGCGTTCTTCGCGAGCCAGGAGGCGACCTTTACCCATCACCCGCCCCTGTCCGTTTGGAGGTTGGGAAGGAGAACCTTACTCGGGGGATGCCCAAGTAAAATCCCCGAGCGTGCAATCTGCTCACGAAGGCGTGGGGTATTTTTAATGACGTGTGGGTTCTTGTGCTCTGCCTGTAACACCTGATCTGGTTGCGGCTGGTCGCCTCCTCCGATTCTGGTGGACAGAATTGAGAACAAGGTAGAGTTAAGGCTCTTCCAGCCCCGTGTTGTACTCTACCGGTCATCAGGACAGTTGAGCCAAACAGTAATTACAAACCCACGCAGATGCCGTCTGGGTCACTTGATGTGGGCATGAGGTTTATTGATTGACAGCTTGCTCAAGCCTTGCTTGGCTTCTGGCCTCGATGCGCTTGCTTTTCGAGGTTACTTGCTGGTGTTTATTTCTCAGTGATGGGGAGAGAATGGCAAATCAGACCCTGGGCTCAGAGGTCGTTTGAGCCATGCTGGTGCCTCTCAGGAGAGAAGACACATCTTGCTGACTGTCTTAATTGAATATGACTGGGAGGGTATGACCAGAGAGAGGAGGGTGGACAGTTTTCTGGGAAGCTCACGAGTGAGGATTGTTTATCTTCATTCAGAACCGACTAAAAACTCAAGAGCTTGTAGAGATTTATGGCTCAGACTTGCAAGTAGGTAGATGAAGCCTTGGCACTAAAAGGCGTCACTCCCTGTCCCCTCCTCAGCCCTTTTCCAGCTTCTGGAACATGCTACTCAAGAGTAACAAAGAAAGATAGTTATGTGTGTGTCAAGAAAAATGCACAAACCCAGGGCTATTTTTCATTTCTAATATAAAATTTTAGCACTTGTTTAGAAAATAATCTCTGCTCACCAGATTTCCTTGTTTGGGGCCATATTAAGTAGTGTTTCAATTTCTATTTTTGCATTTAAGTGGTATCGTCCAGATAAGCTCTGTATTTCTCTGTACTATCTATTTGGTTTATTTACTCTCTTCAAGCTTTTGCTGAGCAGTCGACGCATTGTGTACAAAAAATGACAAAGATGTAGAAGGTACTCACTCACCTTCAAGGAACTTAGCGTTCTTTTGGGGCAGATGTTGTTGTTGTTAGGCGCCATCAAGTCGGCTACAACTCAAAGCGATCCTGTGACCGACATATCTGGACTTTGCCCTATCCTGTGCCATCCTCATGCTCCCTTCATAGGTCACCTTAAAGATGGCACCTTCAATTTGGTTAAATGCCAAAGAACTGTTCTAGTGTTATAATACAAAACTGAACACAGGTGCATCTTTAGCATAAGGAGATAGTAAGATGTAGAAGTGGTTAGAGATTGCAGATTTTTTTTCCCTGTAAAGGGACCCGATAGTAAATATTATCAATTTTAGGGTCACACAGGTCTTTGTTGCATTTTATTCTTTTTTATAACTTTTAAAATCCTAAAAATCTTATTTAACTTCTGGGCCATGCAAAAATCAGGCCATGGGCCCTTGGCTTTAGAGTCGAGGCTAGGGTTCCTATCCCACTGCTGTGTATAATGTTGGACAATTCCCTTTCCCTCTTTAAATGATTGAAGGCAATTGAGCATTGTATGCTTTTAAAGCTCTATAGGGGATCTACACCAGCAATTTGAAAGGTATGTTAATGTGAGAGGAACAATTCGATAAAAGGAAGGGAAGAATGGCTGCCCAATTTGAACAGTATAATCAATGTCACAGAGTGGCACATGTAGAAATGGTTGAATTGCTCTATGTTCTGTATACGCAACAGCTACAATAGCAACACAATGAAGTAAATGACTAAAATGAGGAAAAAGAGCAAAAGTGAACCTTAGTGTGAATATTTTGTGAAGGGAGTATAAAGGGCTAGTGTTGCGGAATATGAAATGGAAGATTATTACTCTGGGAGTCTATACTGGGGTTGAGTTTGCCCCAACTGGGGTTGACTTTTAGCCCACCCCATTTTGTTAGAATAGAAACTGGGAACTGTGGACTTACCCTCCTGACTAACTCCTAAGTCCAGTTGAACAGAAGTTGGGATTGGGCCAAAGTATTTTCAATACCCCAGAAACGGAAGTTTCCTCACTCTAGTTACATTCTGTCATTTACCTTTTCCAATAAATCTTGCACCATTGCAGCTATTGTGTTGCTGTATTATTTAAGACACCTTTGTCTTCCACTTGACTTTGAGGTGCAAAGGCTGGGAGGGTTTGGACCTCATCAGCTCACTGATGATTTTGTTCTTCTCATGTTGATGTAGCCACATAAATTCTGGAGAAGTGCTATTAAAAATAAGCCCGTCCTTTCCATTTCTAGAAGAACCCTGAAGGCATAGTGGTTAAAGAATTGGGCTGCAGATGGAAGCCACCAGCCACTCCTTAGGAGGAGAAGGTAGTCTGCTTTATAAAAATGTATATATATCTAGCCTTGGAAACCTTAGGGGCAGATCTGTGTCCTACAAGGTTCTTAAGAATTGGAATTGACTCCATGGCAGTCAATGTGTTTGGTTTTTGTTTTATGTTTTTAAGAGGCCAGGACAAAGAGAGTATAAATTGCCAGTGTGGTCAGTTTTTAGCTTTATAGACTATTTACTCCAGTGACAGATATAATCTAAAACCATCAAGTCCTTTGTTCATTTGGCTAGTCCCCCCCACCCCGTTTTTTGGCTCGTTTTCCTAAGAAGCTTGAAAATATCACTGTTATTTCTTCATGTATCTGTTGTCTATCTGAACATCTTCCTCTGAAAAGTCTTTCTATCTTTTGCCCATTTTGTAATTGTGTTATCAGTCTTTTTCTTGTGGAGGCCCTGTAAGATTTTGTAAACTTTTGATATGAGACCCTTGTCTGAAATGGTATTGCCAGTGTTTTTTCCCAGCCAGTAGGTTTTCTTTTCACTCCGTTGAAAGACGTTTTTGATATGCATTGTTAGTAAAAATTCTCTAAATGCTTAAATCTCAAAAGTGATCAGCACTTCAGTGTGTTTACAGGTAGTATACAGAGGAAAAGATGGGAGAAAGAAATGTGTACATGTATGTGTAGCTATGTGTATTTGCCTTAAATGTAAATACTCCAGTGTCTCACACTTTACTAATATGATTCATCAATAAGCAGTTGTTACCCTAAAGAAACCGTAACTGCCACCCAAGCAAATATATGCACACCCATGTTTATTGTGGCGTTATTCAGAATGGCAAAGAGTTGGAAACAACCCAAGTGCCCATCAACAAATGAATGGATAGAGAAGCTGTGGTATATTCACACAATGGAATACTACGCTGCATTGAAAGACAAGGAACTCATGCAATATTATTCAAAATGGGTGACCCTGGAGGACATTATGCTGAGTGAAATATCTTGGTCACAAAAGGACAAATACTACATAGTGTCACTGTTGTAAAACGGGACTGACATTGAGGTTGGGGGGAGATGGAGAAAGATGGGATAAATAATGTATAATGCATTGAAACAAATGAGGGAGAGAACAGTTTAAAAGTGATATAAGATTGGGTATTATGGTCATGACAAGAGTCCAGAATAAAGGCTGCTTAGTGGAGTGGACCTGGGGGGAGAGATTGTAAAACAATGGGGGAACGTTTCTTTTACTTTTCAAAGAGAAGAGCGAACTGGGGGTTTGGGGTGGGCAGGGAGAAAAGTGCAACAATGGATGAATGGAAATCCAAAGTCTCTGTAAATTTTCATTAAAATGAATAAAAAAATAAGCAGTTGTTCTCTGTGATCGAAATACAGGTCCTAGTCATAGTTCCTGCTCACAGAGCACTTGTAGTCTAGTGACTTATTTGTTAGGTAGCTGCTGACTCAAGGTGACTATTATAAGCTCAGCATAACTCAGTGTTGCCAGGTACTGCATCATGCACATGATTGCTAGCATCTTTGAGACTGTTGTACCAGTTTGTTTTGCTGAAGATCTTCTAACCTTGAGGTTTACTTTACCTTAAGGTGTCCAAAGTACCAAATACGACACTTCTGTTGTTGCCCACAGGGATTTCATGGCTTGATTTTAGGAAATTAGACTGCCAGGCCCTTTTTATCCTAGCCTGGAAGCTCTGCTGAAGCACGTCCATTACAGGTGACCCTGCTGCTTTTGAAATACCAGTGGCGTATCTTCCAGCATCACAGTAACATGCACACTACCACAGTGTGTGTGACAAATAGACAAGAAGGGAGTCATTTACTAGATAGCCTTTACTGAGCAGCACACCTACTTTTCTGCTTATCTTCTTCCTCCTTAGCCAACATTTCACGTTTATGAAAAGAGTGGAAAATCTGCTAGCTGAATATTTTGTGCGTTAATAACATAAGTCTGACAGTATCAAGATGTGAAGTGAGAACACTGACTTTGATGGTTAAAGTTGTCAACTTGTCTGGGCCATGATTCTGAGCGGTTGGACATTATGTTATGGTTAGCCAACCTCCATTTTGTGATCTGATGTGGCCATCCTCCATTTATGCATAATACAAGTTTTCACCTAACAACCTGGTAATTATAACCTGACCACATTAATAAATGAGGAGTGGGTGTATAATGTGTTAGATACTGTGAGAAGCACTTTACAAG